GTGTGTGTGTGTGTGTGTGTGTGTGTGTGTGTGTGTGTGTGTGTGTGCGTGCGCGCGCGCTATCCCAGGAGATGCAACTGTTCTGGATCCTACCAACAATATCAGCAGAAACCCTGTGGCTAGCCACCAAAGCTAAGCCAGGGTGTAATGACCTGTACTAAATCTGATGCTTATCTAGACCGTCTTTAGACCATGGAAGCTCTGCCAGGCAGGTAGAGCTCAGTTTGGTCCCAACTCTTCAGGGAGGATCTCCTGGAGAAAGGGTAAGGCAGGCAGGAATGGAGGACACAGCCTGCAAGTCTCGCCCCCTAGTGGAAGGCTCAGTTTTCATCTTTGCCTGGGGGGCCAGGAGGGGCTGGCAGTCTGGCTAGAGAGCAGAGCTGGCGAGTGCCAGCCAGCTGGAACCCAGAGCCCTTCTCCCTGTGGTCCTAGCAGGTCAGTTCGGCCACCTCCCCCCTCCAAACAATGCTTCCAGGAGGACACTTGGGCCGCCTCTCACTAAGTCTCTACTGATGAGAAGACATGCTCCTTAGGGCAAGGAACTTCCCTTCAGAACCGAACCACTCACCCTGTCCCAAGCTGGTCCTCTCAATCCATCCAGCTATTCAGGGCAACAGCCTAACACTCACTCGGTCACAGTCTCTGACAAAACTCCAGCAGGACCCCTGCTCTCCCATCCCTGCAAGTCACCTCCACCTTCTGCGGGCAGCTCTCCTCTAATTTTCCCTACTTTTAGAACACCGTATTCTTTGAACCACAGTCCCTATTCTTTGTTTTATACGCAGGGATGTCTTGCCTGTATGTATGTCGGGTCTGGTTCCATGTGCATGCCTGGGCCACAGAGGTCAGAAGAGAACCTTGGATCCCCTGGAACTGGAGTTACAGACAGTTGTGAGCTGCCATGTAGATGCTGTGAATCAAACCCAGGTCCTCTGGAAGAGCAGCCAGTGCCCTTAACCACCTCTCCAGACTCCACAATTTCTATTTTCTTTCTTTGTTTTTGAGACAGTCTCAAATAGCCCAGGCTGGCCTTGAACTTGCTACGTTGCTGAGAATGACACTAACTTTCAATTCTCTCACCTTTACCTCCCAAGTGCTTAGATTAGGGGCATGTGGCACCAGCTAGGTATACCGGTCTTTAGGGCCTGTGATCTGCCCTTTGTCATTCACTCGTGGGTCCCTTGACTCCCTCTGTCTGGCCAGAGGTCTCCTAGATTACAGGGCCTGACAGCTCAGAGCTGTTTTGGTGCCTGGATCTGCAGGACGGTAGGAGGGGCCAAGGTTTCCATAATACGGGCAACTCTCTCTGTCTCTGTGCACTGAGCTCCACGTCAGGCCCAAGAGGGAGAAAAATACTTAGCACTCCAGCAGACACGAGAATCCAATGTAAAACACGTGCCAGTTTCTGCTTGAACACATCTTGCACTGGGAGTTCACTCCCTTACAGAGTAGTCTACCTCTCTTATGCTACCTCTCTGGAGCATAAGACAAGGCTTGGGAGTAAGTTCTGCAGTAGGGGGATGCTAGCCAGGCCATAAGTAAGGAGGGCAGAGACAAGGAGACTGGACCTGCCTTTAGCAAAGAGCCAGCAGCAAGGTTTTGTTTTGATTTTTGTATGTTTGGCATGTTCTTTATTAAAAAAGACCTTACGGTGCCTGCTGCATGGTGGACCCGTGGTAGGGGCGGGGAAGGGGTGGTGGACGTGGTGGGTAGGTGCCTGTTCTCATTCTCGTGTGCAGACATTCCTCTGCACAGACAATGTGCTCAAAAATAAAAGATGACCTCATGCTGGTTAAGTGCTCTGAGGAGAGCCAAACAGGATGATGCATGGGCGAGTGAGCCGAGGGAGAGCAGAGAGGAGGGTGATTTACATCTGCTAACGTGGTCAAGGGCGCCGAGAGAGGATGTGCACAGGGCTTGTATAAAGATGCGGCCCGGGCATACCAGGCAGTCAGTCAACATGAGTGTCTGGACACGGGCCTGAGTATGAGGAAGACACCAGTGGCCTCAGTGGGGACAGTGAGCACTGTGATCAGGG